GCTGAACCCCACGTTAAAAAAGCCCTCAGCCAAGTGGGGTTTTTTAAACCAATATTTTTTTTTTTTTTTTTTTTTTTTTTTTTTTTTTTTTTTGTAGTAATGGAATTCGGATGTTAAAGCAGATTATAAGGTTTTACTACGTTATTTTAGAGAGTTCGTTTTCTAATGTTACATTTAAAGAAACGTTTTATTGATCACTCGTGTTACTAAAAGTCTAAATTTTTTACTAAACAGGACTTAAACACAAACATCTTGTTTATTGTAAAAAAAAAAAAAAACTGTTCCTCTTTATCTTCTTGTGATATTTAAGTGACTTCTGTGCCATCGTGTGTGAGGGCTTCTAACGTCTCACCTCTGCATAAGGCGTCTCCGCTGCCCTGCTGAAAGGTTATCCTCTCAGACGGGAGAGAGGAACCGTCTCCACCAAGAAAAATGCTTGTACTCCCTCTAGTGGGAATTGCTGCTCACAGCAACCGGCTTTCCTTTTGTTCACAGCACCCATCCTTTGTTCTATTGTTGGTGAGAGTATGTGTTAGCGAAGAGCCTCACACATTGTTGGCATGCTAGAAAGTCCCTTCTCTTCACCCTCAACACCAGGGTTGGAAGCCAGTTTTTGTTTCTGGCCTCCTTTAATTTTGGAAGGAGTCGCACTGCTTTGTTTTCACTCTCTATTGAGATGAGCCTCGGTATGACAGCTAAACTATACGGTTATGTACACATTGGTTTCTCAGCTGTGACTTTGTTTTTCTGTCTTTCTTTCCTTTGTATGGTAACAAGTTGATTTGTTTCATTTTTATGTTGTTTTGAGTTGACCTCTGCAACCTAAGTTGTTTATGTGGCACAGAAATAACTTTAAAAATGAAGGTGCTTTTCTTAATCAGTTAAATTATTTTTTAAAGTTTTTTTTTTTTTTTTTTTTTTTTTACAGAACTAATGGGATTCTTTGTCTTTATTGTGTTACTCTGTCTAATGAAGTTTGAAAAGAGGAACCAGCTGCTTTCTCATTTGTATCTCAAAGTCTGAACATGAAGAGTCTCGAGAAAACTGTACAGGTTTATCAGTTCACATTTTATTTATCACTGCAGATTGAAATGATCTTTTATTCTGATGAGCTTAAATTAAGATATCCTCTGTACAGGTCTTACCACTGAGCTGAGAAAACCCTCAAAGCATTCACACCCCTAAAACCTCTCACAATTACAACCATAAATATCAACGCATTTTATTGGGCTTTTTGATAGACCAACATGGAAGCCCATATTTGAGAAGAAGTAAATTAGGTTTAGTTTTTGCTATTATTTGAAACATAAAACTGCATGGTGTTCATATATATATATATATTTAATATATGACAAAATAATAAAATCCAGTGCAATGCAAGGATGGCATAATTAAAGTTATTGCTAAAAGAAACCATAAAAGCTCATGTGTTACAGATAAATGTACGGTACTCATTCAATAAAAAAAATATTTCAGCTCTTCATTAAGCTTCTAGATCTACTTTTACTTCAGAGTTTTAAAATGAACCCAAAGTTGTTAAGATGTGGGTTTGGTTAAGATGCCAAAGAACTGAAATGAGGGACTAAAATAAAGTTATGTCCATTAAATCTGACATAATCCAGTTCACATTTTATAATTATTATCGATTTTGACTGATCAAAGTTTGTCTAGCTGGCAAAAGTAGCTCTTTAACACAATGCCAAAAGTGTTGCTTCATGATATTTAGGGTGAAAACATAAAACTCAACTATTTGGTACTATTCAAATAAATCGAATACCGACCGTGAAAAAGCAGGAATTTTA